CTCAAACATTTCAAAATGAGACCAAGGCGAGTATCAAGACTTTGGAACAACAAATGACTCAACTCGCCACTTCTGTGAGTAAATTGGAGTCACAAGGAAAACTACCCACACAAACCGAAAAGAATCCAAAGCATAGTGCACGTGCCATCACTTTGAGAAATGGCAAAGAATATGAAGGTCCAAAGATGATTGAAGATGAAGAGAAGATGGAGTTTGAGAAAGAGGAAGAGAAGTCAAAAACACCCTCAAAGCAAATTCTCATTGAAGCAAAAGTCACTCCTCCTCCATTTCCCACAAGGTTAAGCAAGTCAAAGCATGAAAGGGAAGACAATGACATCATGGAGATGTTCAGAAAGGTTGAGGTAAATATTCCTTTTATTGATGCCGTCAAACAAGTCCCCATGTATGCTAAGTTCCTTAAGGAATTATGCACATCTAAAAAAAGTTAAAAGGGAATGAAACTGTCAAAGTGGGTGAAAATGTATCTACAGTGTTACAGAAAAGACTACCTCAAAAATGTAAGGATCTGGGTGTTTTCATGGTTCCTTGCAAGTTAGGTAATATTCATGTTCCACGAGCTATGCTAGACCTTGGAGCTTCTATCAATGTTTTGCCATATTCTATTTTCAGAACTTTAAATATTGGCATATTGAAGAAGACCGAGGTGATCATTCAGTTGGCTGATAGATCTTTAGTACATCCAAAAGGTGTGCTAGAAGATGTGTTAGTCCAAGTGAATGAGTTAGTATTTCTAGCTGATTTTTATGTCCTTGATATGGATGATGATGACTCACCAAATTTGAGTTCAATTCTTCTAGGAAGACCCTTTTTGAAAATAGCTAGGACAAAAATTGATGTTTATGATGGTACATTGTCCATGGAATTTGATGGAGAGGTGATAAATTTCAACATCTATGATGCTATGAGATATCCAAGTGATATTTCATCTTTGAATTTTGTGGATATCATAGAACCATTGACAGAGGAGTGTTTTGATTTGTCTAATATTGATGTGTTAGCTCTCATTTTAGACAGAAATCTTCAAAAGGAAAAAGTGGAAAAACTTGCCAAGCAATTTAAAATTGATGAAGAGATTATGGAAGTTGTATCTTGCATTGATGAAAAGAAGAAAATGAGGTTTGATGTTCCGAAACTGAAGTTATCGTGCCTAATGAGAAACTTGTTCCTTCTATTGTGCAGGTACCGGAATTGGAGCTCAAGACTTTACCCGAGCACCTTAAGTATGCGTATCTTGGAGAGAAAGAGACTTTGCCAGTAATCATTTCCACAAAGTTATCAACAAAAGAAGAAGAAGAGCTTGTTACCACTTTGAAAGAGTATAAGGAAGCTATTAGATGGACTATAGCCGACATCAAAGGGCTAAGTCCTTCACTTTGCATGCACAAGATCCTTATGGAAGAAGATTACAAACCCTCCCGAGAAACTCAAAGGCGTTTGAATCCTCCAATGATGGAGGTGGTGTAGAAAAAGATTTTGAAGTTGTTGAATGCGGGGATGATCTATCCTATATCGGATAGCAAATAGGTAAGCCCGGTCCAAGTCGTACCAAAGAAGACAGGTATTACCGTTACAAAGAATGACCAAGGTGAATTAGTCCCCACCCATGTGCAAAACGGGTGGAGAGTTTGCATTAATTATAGAAAACTCAATTCCTCAACCCGGAAAGACCATTTCCCACTTCCCTTCATTGACCAAATGTTGGAAAGGTTAGCGGGAAAAACACACTATTGTTGCTTAGATGGGTATTCCGGTTTCCATCAAATACCCGTTGCACCCAAGGATCAAGAAAAAACCACTTTCACATGTCCCTTCGGAACATTTGCATATAGGCGGATGCCTTTTGGACTTTGCAATGCTCCCGCCAATTTTTAAAGGTGCATGGTAAGTATTTTTTTCGGAGTATGTTGAGGAAATCATTGAAGTGTTTATGGACGATTTCACTGTATATGGTAATTCTTTTCTTGAGTGTTTGGGTAATTTGAAAAAGATTTTGCAAAGATGTATTGAGACCAACCTTGTTTTGAATTATGAAAAGTGTCATTTTATGGTTGATAAAGGTCTCATACTTGGTCATATTGTGTCTTCTAATGGTCTAGAGGTAGACAAAGCAAAAATAGATGTCATCAAGTCTTTACCTTACCCCACTTGTGTTCATGAGGTACGCTCGTTTCTTGGTCATGCAGGTTTTTATAAAAGATTCATCAAAGATTTTTCCAAGATATCCCGTCCCATGTGTGAGCTTCTACAAAAGGATGCAGAGTTCGAATTTTCCAAAGAGTGCAAGCAAGTTTTTGATCAGTTGAAGGAGTTTTTAATCTCAGCACCAATACTTCAATCACCGGATTGGAGTTTGCCCTTTGAAATCATGTGTGATGCTAGCAATCATGCGGTTGGTGCAGTATTGGGGCAAAGAAAAGACCGAGTTCCTCATGTCATTTATTATGCCTCAAAGACACTTCATAGTGCACAAGCCAATTATTCGACAACTGAGAAAGAATTGCTATCTATTGTCTTTGCTTTAGAGAAATCCCGTCAATATTTGTTAGGTTCTAAAGTGATTGTTTATTCTGATCATGCAGCTATTAGGTACCTACTTGCAAAGAAGGATCCGAAGCCTAGACTCATTCGATGGGTATTACTCTTACAAGAGTTTGATATTGAAATCAAGGACAAGAGCGGAAAGTCAAACCTTATGGTTGATCATCTTAGCAGGATTGTTTCTCCCGATGATTCAACTCCCATTCATGATGCATTTCCCGATGAGAACCTATTTTCAGTAAAAGTTGCCCCATGGTATGCCGATATTGTGAACTACATTGTCACAAATTAATTTCCACCAGATTTGACTCGGTGGCAAAAAGAAAAAATCAAGAAAGAAGCCAAGAGGTATGTATGGGATGAGCCATATCTGTGGAAATATTGTGCTGATCAAATGATTAGACGATGTGTGCAACAACATGAGGTATCTTCTATCTTAGCATTTTGTCACTCTTATGCTTGTGGAGGGCATTTGGTCCTCAAAGAACTGCAAGAAAAGTATTAGAGAGTGGATTTTACTGGCCAAGTATTTTCCATGACTCTTATGTTTTTTGTGCAAGCTGTGATAAGTGTCAAAAGATGGGTCCTTTAAATTCAAAGAATCAAATGCCCCTAAGTCCCATTTTAGTTTGTGAAATTTTTTATGTTTGGGGCATTGATTTCATGAGACCTTTTCCATCATCTTCGGGTTTTACTTATATCCTTTTGGCTGTGGATTCTGTTTCCAAGTGGGTGGAAGCAAAAGCTACCCGTACTAACGATTCAAAAGTTGTGATAGATTTTTTGAAGGCTAACATATTTTCTAGATTTGGTGTTCCAAAGGCCTTAATCAGTGATCGTGGTACACTTTTGCAATCGTATGCTCGGGAGTGTTTTGAAGAAATATGGTGTTACTCATAAAGTTTCCACAGCATACCATCCACAGACAAACGGACAAGCTGAAGTGAGCAATCGAAAAATCAAGGGTATTTTGGACAAAACTGTCAATATAACAAGGAAAGATTGGAGTACTCGTCTTGATGATGCTTTCTGGGCATACCACATTGCATTCAAAACTCCAATTGGGATGTCTCCATACCGCATTGTTTTTGGGAAGCCATGTTGATTACCCGTTGAGTTGGAGCATAGAGCTTATTGGGCAGTCAAACAATTCAATATGGATTTAAGTGAATCGGGAAAGAAGAGGAAGCTTGACATACAAGAGCTTGAGGAGATACGCAATGAAGCGTATGAGAATGAAGTCCTTTACAAAGAAAAGACGAAAGCATACCATGACAAGATGATTTCACGCAAGGTATTTCAAAAAGGTCAAAAGGTATTACTTTACCATTCTCATTTTAAATTAATTCCTGGTAAATTAAGGTCCCGTTGGGTGGGACCATTTGTTGTTACTAATGTTTTTGAGCATGGTGCAATAGAGATCACAAGTGAGAAAACCGGGAAGATATTTAATGTGAATGGTCATCGTTTAAAGCCTTATTATGAAGGATTTGAAGTCAAAAACGAGGAAGTGGAGGAAGTAGCGGACCCAAAGTACCAAGATTGACAAATAATTGGGGTCCATGTCGAGCCACCGACTTTAAACAAGGGCAGCTACCCGAGAGGCAACTCGGGGGTATTTTGGTCATATTTGTAAAATTTTCATATGGACATTTTCTTTTAAGTTTTTGTGTTCCAAGGTTCTTAGAATAACTAGGGGAGTCTAAAAATAATTTTTATGAAGATTGGAAGCGAGCGGGTGCGGAAATAAGAAAAATCAAGGTGCGTCTCTCAGAACATTACACGGGCCGTGTAATGCATGTCTTTGCAAAACAAGGCCATGTAATGAAGCTTGACTCAGAATTTTGTGGCGTTACACGACCGTGTAACAATACCCTTACCATTACACGGGCCGTGTAACGAGGTCTGTAAACAAAAATAAAATAAAATAAATTTTGCAGCTTCCATTCATTCATTCATTTCAATCGTGACTCCTGTCTCTCATTTTCCCTCGCCATACACGACCGAACAAACACACATACATCTCAAATATTCAATTTTCCATGGATTTAAGCAACCAAGGTATGATTTTTCACTCTCCTTTCTTCTTCCTTACACTCAAGAAGCTTCAAAACACCATTTTAATGGTGATTTTCGGATTTTTGGAAGAACCCTAGAAATTGGGGTCCGAAAATTTTGTTTTAATTTCTTCAAATTGTTTGTAGGATAAGCTTGGGGAAGCATTGGTGGAAGAGATTACAAGTGATTTCAAGCACCAATTTCGTGTTTCAAGCTCCAAATCGGGTATTTTCCTTCCAATTCTTTGACTTTGCATTATTAGTCAAAAAGCTTTAATCTTTGTGCTTAAACTGTCATATTGAGTGTTAATTGTGTGTTGGTCATATTAAGTGGTTGTGAATTGTGCTTAAGAGTCAAATTTTTGCGCTTAAATTGTTTCTCTCATGGCTTCATCATCTCGTGGGGGTGGTAAAAAGGGTAATTCCAAGCGTTCTAGAGTCGTTGACTCTAGTGTTAGTCAACGTGACCCACACCCTCCACGCCAAAATTCGGGTGCATTGGCATTCTTAGACTCTCAACAAGAAGCTAGGTATCACAATTTTCTTGGTCGTAGGCGTGCAGCACAGAAATTTGCGGACATGCCCACTCTTGAGTCCCTCCATATACATGACCAAGTACGTGTTTTGTTCAGAAATATTGGATGGGAAGGTTTGTTGTCATTGCATGATGTGGGTTATGTCCAACCCACTATTGAATTTTTATCATCTGTTTCCTTCAATCATCGAACCGAGTATCTTTCCTTCCGTGCTTTTAGTCGTAATTATCAATTGCATAAAAATCAATTATGTGAACTCGTTGGTGCTCCAATTGCTAACACTTACAACCCATTTCACATTTTTAATTTTCCATTTCAAGAGGATGCTAAAGCTTTTTGGGAGAGAATTTCAGGATTGAGATATTTTCCAAGTGCTGCCAAAGCATCAAGTATCATTCATCCTGTTCTTAAGGCCACTCATCGCATCCTTGCTTCTATTGTATTTCCACAAAATGAGATAAGCAAGGCTGGCCAAAAAGAATTAGAGCTTATGTGGTGTATGATCCACAACCCAACTCAACTTCTTGATTTTGGATTATGGATCATTTTCAAATTGTTGAAAATATCCCGCAGCACCAGTGGTAAATTACTTTGTGGCGGTATGATCACAATTATCCTCAAACACCCAACTCTTGCCATTCGCTTTCCACCCGGTCTCGATGTCATTGAAGGAGAAACTCGTCTCACAACAAACATCTTGCAAAATATGCATTTGTTTCACTTGGATGATGAAACGCATAACGTTTGTTGGGCTGTTGATAGCTGCGACTACCTCCGTATTGATCATCAGAATTCCCAACTTCTAGATTGTCTAATCCCATTCACAACACTGTGTGGCGCCTTAGGTCCAATTTAGGTGTTCCGCTGCCCGAGCCTGATCCTGATTCTAATGAGGATGAACCCATTCCTGATGCAACCATACCTGATGCTGCTGCTCCAGTGCAGCAAGAGCCTGTCATGCATCCCCATCATGACATGTATATGCAAGAATTTCGTAGGTTGCATGAGGACAATCGGCGTTTGCATCGTGACTATTCTGAACTTTATGATAGTGTTTGTGAGATAAATACTGAGATGGTGGAGTTTAGGGAAGAGTTTTATACCTTTAGAGACAATCAACAAGCACACAACCAACATGTGGATTCCCTTGTGACCGACATGTATAGGGTACTTTGTTTAGGTGGTCAACCTACACGACCACCTTATTACCCTCAATATCCACATTACCCCCCACCGTACAATCCACAATTTCCACATCAATATCCTCCTCCATTCCCACCTCAAGATCCTCCTCAATAATTTGTCCCGCTCTCTTCCCAAGCATCGAGGACGATGCACATTTTTAAGCTTGGGGAGGAGTGTATTATGCATATTCATTAAAAAATTAAAAAATTAAAATTAAAATTAAAAATTAAAAAAAAATAGGATTTATGCAGCTTTTTCAACATTAGTCTTTATGTATTTTTAAAGTCAAATCAATGTCCGAAGAATAGTTGTTAAAGTTGTTTATTATTTTCATTCTAGTTTTCTAGTTGTACATATTAGAAGTTTATCGTTATTTTAAACCAATTTGTTTTCCAAAGTCAAAACCGCGAGATCATCAAAATGGCGGATTTCAAAGTCAAATATCTACAAGTGTTTGTCATTTATAAAAGAGTTCTTCTAAAGTCAATTTATCAAGTTTTGTGTTCAAATTAAAAAAAATAATAATAATAAAATAATAATAAAAAAAGAAGTTTTAGTTTATGTTTGTTTTTCATTTCTTTTGTAATATTTAAGTTGAGTCTTTGTACATATCCATGCTGCTTTCTAGTAATAATAAAAAAAAAACCGAACCAAGTCTGTCCAGATTTTTCATGATGATATTTTCACAGGAAATTCGTTTGTGTTTGATTTTGTTGGCTTGTTTAGCATTAGAAGTTTATTTTGAAGCCAACAATTATGATTATATGGTTCTATTTTGTATATTTGTTGTTGTATATTTCTTTTGCGCTCCTGATATGGTTATGGATTTATCTCCTATTATGGATTACCGAGAGTTGACACGGATTTTTGGAAGAAGATATGAAGATTGTGCAGCCGCAAGCTATTAAAAAGCATAGAGAGAAAACTAAGAAGAATGGGATATGCCTTACCGACGCTGAGTGCCCTCCGCCTTAAATAACGAGTGTAGGTTCTTTGATAGGAGTGAGTTCACACATCTTGTGAAATGAGTGCATACACGAGTTGAGTGTTTCAGTGAGCACGCCCTATAGATTGAGATACACCTGCCTTGACATTAAAAGTTACTAGGAGATGCCTTATACTATGGTTCTATGCAATTAAACCAAGTGGTTGGCAAATCTTTGTGTTCCAAGTCTTCTACTGTCCTGATTTGGAATGCAGTACATTCGTATGTGTTTAGGGTATAGGTTGACAACTCTTTAATCACGATTATGTTGTCGGGATAAATAACTTGAGGCATTCTTTCTTTTTATTTCTATGTTTGCATTTCTTCATTTGCATTTGCATTCATCTCTTCCAAGGTTAATTTTTGTTTTGTTTTCTTGAGGACAAGAAAAGTTTCAAGCTTGGGGAGATTTGTTAGGTGCATAAATTGCACCTTTTCATAAGCTAATTTCATGTTTATTTATAGCATTGCATTGCATTTTTAGTGTAATATTCATTCATTTTGCATTTAAGGACATTATCGAGGATCTATCGATATTTCACCATTTTTTGTGGATGTTTCAGGGTGATTTGAATATTGGAGCATGCTTAGGATGGTCAAGGGAAGCTCTCGGTGAAATTTCGGAACTTTCGGAGCTAAATTGAAGAAATGAAGAAAATTAGGAATTGACTTTTATGAACTGCATTACACGGCCCGCGCTTTGGCAAGGCATACGTTACGCGGCCGCGCTTTGGAAGTATTTCAGCACATCAGAGTCATTACACGGCCGTGTAATGGCAAGGTATACGTTACACGGGCCGTGTAACGTGATCTGATCAAAATTTGAATTCTTAACTTCCGATTTATCATGTTCTTCTGGCATGTTCAAACATAACTTCGACAAGAGACTTCAAGGGGGCGATTTTGGTGTATCATATCATCATCTAGCATCTTGGAAACACTTTATTTTACATTTTGTAAGTTAATTTGAAGATCAAACTAGTTGAATTTGTAGTTTAACTTAGACATGTGTGGCTGATTTCTTTATCATTTCTGATTCTGTATTCCTAAGTGTTTGTTGTTAAGTTATAATTTGCACTTGATTTTATGTTTATCATCTAGTAATCTTTGATTTGATCTTAATTATATGTTTGATTGGTTCTCTTTTCACTTGATCAATGAATTAGGGTTCTTATCAATCTAGTTAATCAAATTGTGAAATTCGTATATGTTTTTTGATTTGATGTTAGTAACATGCACTTGATTGGTTGTAATTAGATCAAAATTAGTGTAATCAAAGATTAAATGTTCATATCCCAAGCTTATGAGGAATGTTGAACATTGTTGGTAATTGTTACAAGAACTTAATGTCATTTAATGATTTGGTTCAAGAGCTTGTTTGAATTGAATCAATTAAATGAAGTTTTATTTGAAGAACATCATTTGAATAAAACACTTTTGTAAACTTGGGTATTAGAGCTTGTTAATATCTAAATTACCAACCTAGATTGAACATGAATCATAGTCATATTACATCCTACAACATAATGCATGTTTAGGAATCCGAATCAGAAATGTATTTCTTTTATTGATTTTTAGTATTAATCTTGTTTATTTATGAGATTTAATTCGAGTTCAAACATAATCCCCCATTTTAATATTGTTTGTATGATGTGTGAGAATATGGCTAAATAAGAAGTCCCGTATTCCTGTGGACCGACCCTCCTTACTCTATACTATCTCTAGTGTATGAAGTAGCAGTGAATTGAGTTTTCTTGTTATTATTTTATCCCCATTATTTGTTGGTTTGACAACCAAACACATCTCGTTCTTCCCTTTGCTTAAACTTGTTCTTCATGTTGCTTTCATGGAGGTGAAAAAGGTCTTTGATATTTTTAGAGGAACAAATATGATGGAGTTGAAATGGTGGAAAAGGGTTTCGTTCCGTCTGGTCTCAAGGGGAGATAGTCTAAGGTGAGGGGTAGTGGTGGTCGGCGGTGAGGGGTTGATCTTGAGGGACGTTGAAGTCCAAAATACCGAGAGAGAGAGAGAGAGAGAGAGAGAGAGAGAGAGTTCCCTCTCATTTTTTAATTATTTAAATGAATAAATAAGTATTAAACATTAAAAAAATAATAAAAAAAAATTAATACCCCAAGGGTATTAAAGTCACTTCACTTTACTGAGTGACCAAATCCACAACGAAACTAGCTCCAAATGATCACGAAGCCAAAAAAAATATCGAGGTTTGGACTAAACCTAAAAAAAAATGCATACCACAGGGACCATTTTTGCAGTTTTGTCTTAAAAAAATACATTGGTTTGGAAAATGATTTTTTACATTTGAAAAATAAAATGAAGAGAGGGGACTACATTTCCGATTATTATTGAACAAAATTTCTTTTTTCGGGTTTTGGACTTTTGCTACTATACATTTTTATTTTAGAGTTTTGCCATAAAACTTTTGGATATCGATAGATTTAGTCTTTTATGATTTTACAATTTATAGAAAATGTCTTTTGTGAAGCTTTTTTTTTTCAAAAGTAGTCCCTATAACTTCGTAAGTAAAACCTTGTATGCATCCTGCGAAGCAGGCATTTTCTAGTTTTTTATAAAAAGAAAACTATACATATAATGTAATTTTCCATTTAGAATTGAGTTTATGCCTTCATGGTCTTCGGGCACAAATTATTATTCTTCAGCAATTAATATGTCTCCTTTTATAGCTAAATGATTAATGCCTCTTGATGTGTATGTACGTTTATGGAATGGAAATGAAAAAACAAATACTTTAGAAAAATAGAACATCTCAGGGGCTTTTTTAACTCTCCATTTCAATTTCGTTTCATTATTATTCATACAATAAATTTCAAATGAACTTGTGAACAGTACAGTCGATAAGTTTTTGGCATGATTTTTATCTGCTTTTCGATTTTTTTACCGACTCGTTTATATTTTTACCGTCCTCTTATTTGTAGCCGGTATTTTCTACCAATCTATGGGCAATAGGAGGAGAAATGTGGGGTGTCGTTGGAGCTGCTTAGGTCCACATGGAATCGACTGTAGAACTCCCATTTCTCTTCCTCGATTCGATTCGTCACCGCTATCATCGCCGTATCAACGATGATGCCACTTACTGGACCTCTTGCCATATCTCACACTCATAATCACGCACTTCAGATCAATCTCACCACTCGATTTGGGGTTGTTGCCCCCTTCTTCCAATCTTCTTTAGGCACGAAGCTCTCCATCGGCCATGAGTATTTTATTACACAACGGAAACCCTCACATTCAATATCGATTTTGATTTTGAGAGAGACGGTGTAACGGCCCAAAAATTCTAAGCAAAGATTTTCTTTTAAATCGATTAAAACAACCAATCATTTAGTTTGAAAACCCATCATATTATAAAATACGTTGTACAATCATCATAGTACAAAATCAGTCAAATCATGCGGAATGCTGATGGCATCTTTGGTCAAGGTCCAGTGGCAACATCGGAAGGGTTCCAAATGGACTTTGGAACCTGAGGCAGAGTTGCGGGAGCATTACCCTGAGTTGTTCATAGCAGCGGACTTCGAGGATGAAGTCTGATTCAAGTGGGGGAGAATTGTAACATCTCGATTTCCAGGTATTTTACATTTTGACCCTTGGCATGAGTATTGTTTGCAAATTTGGTCCCGTATGACATTTTTGTAATTTTTGGGAGTTGCTTGCGTACGCTGGGCGTACCCAAGCGTACGCCAGACGTACGTGACCTGGACCTAAAACCCTAATATTTAGGGTTTGTGCACTATTTATTCATCCTTAATTCTCAAGGCTCCCTTCATTCATCGCCCTCCAACCTCATATTCGACCCTTGAAAACCCTAATCCATTTTTAGAGCATCTTTGAGCCTTGAGTGTGTATTTTGGTGATCTTGAAGGAGGAAGAAAGGAGACGAGACCATCTTAGAAGAGTGAAGCATTTTGGATCCAAAAACACATCATCATTTGGCACTACTTGGAGGTAAAAAGCTCTGATCTTGATGAAGTTTTGCTTAGATCTTGATTAGCCATGGATTGTGTTCATTGTGGTCCCATAAGCTTGATGTATTTGAGTATGGTTTACTCTAATCCATTTGAGTTGCCCTTTCATACATTTTGGAGTGTTTAGAGCCATAAAAATGTAATCTTGGTCCTTAGTTTTTCCCCATGCATGGACTAGAATGTCTTAATGAGTTAAAAAGTTAGGGTTTTTGGTATTGAGCACCTTATAGCCATGCAAAATCATAAAGTTGGAAACTTTATGATTACGGACATCATTTGAGGACTATATCTGGATTTTAGACAAAAGGGCTTAAGGGATTAAGCTTTTAATCAAAGGTGTAGCTGGTTGGCACGTACGTTGGGCATACGCTAGAGTACGTCGCATGTACGTGGTCAACATCCCAACTTTTGTCAAGCCTTGTGTACGTTGCGCGTACAAGCTGAGTATGTTGGTCGTACTCCGTTAAGTCAACTCGGCTGACTTTTTTTTACTTTCAACTTTGGCCGACCACCACTACCCGATGTGGAAGTGGTTGGTGCCCGATTTATTTTATATATATATATATATATATATATATATATATATATATATATATATATATATATATATATATATATATATATGATGAGGTTCAATAGAGAACCATAATTAACCAAGGAACCAATCTTTTTTTCAACTTTTAGAACTTATTTTTATAAAAAAAAAAAACTAAAAATACAGAAGTTCATAACTTTTTATCCTTTTTTCAATGATATCAAATTCGAAAAAAAAATTTCGTCAAATTCACAATGTGAATCTTTGAAAATTCACAATGTGAATCTAAATTCACACGGTGAATCCGAAAAATATTTTTCACATTGACGAACAAAATAAATGAATCACTAGATGATTCATTTGTAAGATGATTCACAAAAAAAAATTCCCAAAAAATCATTTTTATGATTCATTTTTAAGTAAATTAAGAAAAAATTCACTTTTATGACAATTTTAGTGAATAACAACAAAATCATTGTATAAATGAATCATCGAGATGTTTTTTTGAGAATTTTTTCTTATGAATCATCTTACAAATAAATCATCTAATGATTCATTTTGTTTGTTCGCGAAAAAAATATATAGAAAAAAACTTCTTACCTTCCTACCAAAAATTTCCTTCTTATTTGATCTTGACTCTCTCTTTCTCTCTCTCTATCTCTCTCTCTCTCTCTCTCTATATATATATATATATATATATATATATATATATATATATATAATTAGCTAATTATCTAACTTTAGGACTTGGAAACCCTAATTAGGGTTTAGAAAACCCTAATGTCATGAAACCCTAGTTTTTGGAGTTGGTCGGGACCCACGTTAAAACTATTAATTAAACTTAAAATAATACTTAATAATCCTCTACAATTATGTAACGAACAAATTTTCAAAAGAAAATTTTCATTTTTAAATAGTCAAAAACATCTTCAATAAGTCATAAAATTCCAAGTACCATTGTTTAAAAAATCAAATTATCAACAATATTATTTCAAACATCAGAGTGTCCCATAAAAACGTCTGATAGAGAGTGCCTTCTGCGTCATCAAGCCTTGCCCTTACCCCTAAGATCAGATGTACATGCAATAAATCCACAAACTGTAAG